CACGGTGGATGAGGCCAGTGCGACTCATGAAGGTGCTCGTCACCCGCAGGATCCCTCCCGAGGGCAGGGCTGCGCTCGCCCGGGCCCCAGAGTAAGAGCCCGGCGCCCCACGCCTTTTCGCGCGCCGAGTGTCCCGCCGGGCGCACGGGCGGGGAGTGGAATGGGGAAGGGGCTGCAGACTCTCAGGCGCCCTTGCACGGGGTGACTCAGCGGCCTGCAGGCGTGCCTTTGGGGGCGTCCGGACTGCGCCGGGACGGGCTGGGGGCGGCTTCAGAGGCCCCGGTTGTTTTGAGGGGGAAAGGCGAGGCGGTCCCAGGGACCAGAGGGAGCCGAGCCCGGGCTCTTGGGCATTGGCCGGACTTTCCAACTGTGTCCGGTTGGGACGGGCTTGGTGTTCTGGGGAGGCTCAGAGAAAGTTATCTGGGGCCCGGCTCTCTCCAGGCCCCTTACGGTGTCGCCGGGACCAGCGGTTCCCCCTGGCGCTGGGTGGGGAGGAAGGAACCTGGAGGTCATCGACCTTTGAACTGGGAAGACTACCCGTGACGCAAGGTCCAAGCTATTAAACCTTTACCTTCTAACAGGCAGGTGGGGTCAGGGACCGTGGCGGTCACTGGCCTGGCCCATTGGATAGCTGGCAGGGGCCTTGGATGACCCTTTTTAAATTGAACCCCTTCTGTGGACCAGCCTTGCCATGTGCTTCATACATATGAACGTTTAATGCTTGCAACGCTGTGAAGTCAGCATTATAATTCCCATTTCACAGATTTAAAAACAGGCTGGAAGGGATTAAGTAACTTGCCCAAAGTCACACAGTCCCACATGGTGGGCCTGGGATTGTACTTAGCCCTGTCCCACTACATTTGATCGGTTTTGTACTTCCAGCATCAGACAGGAAGAAGGTGGGAGCCAGCCTCAGCAACCAGTTCTAGGGGAAAATGAGATTTTAGAATTCAATTCAAGGCTGGGTGCAGTGGCTCACGCCTATAGTCTCAGCACTTTGGGAGGCCGAGGTGAGAGGACTACCTAAGCCCTTGGGTTCGAGACCAGCCTGGGCAACTTGTGAAACCTCATTTCTACAATAAACCAAAAAATTAGCTGGGTACGGTGGGGCGTGCCTGTAGTTCCAGCTACTTGGAAGACCGAGGCGGAAGGATCGCCTAGCCCAGCAGGTCGAGGGTGTGGTGGCCATGAGCATGTCACTGCCCTCCAGCCTGGGTGTCAGAATGAGACTCCAACTTAAAAAAAAAAAATTCAATTCAATACAGCAGAACCTTTGCTGAGGAGGACCTGCTTTGTACTAAGGGCAAAGACCAGTGGCTCGCACTGTGTGCCCTGCTCATGGAAGGTGGCCAGTGCCAGCCCGGTCGGTGGGGGCTGCAGCAGGGTGTTCTGAGAAGTGCCAGCGGCCGCCCTGTGTCTTGCACACGTGGATGCTCCCACATGCTGGCTATGGTGAACTCGCTGGCAAGGGCTGGAGGCAGGGTGCACCTCTGGGAAAAAGTATTGGTTCCCATGAGCTGCTGGGGAAGCACCCTGATGCTCTTCTGTTTAGAGTTGCCTTGGTCTTATCCTTCCCAGCAAAGTCCAAGTCTGAGGGTTTTCCATTTCAGGGACTCATGGGACAGGAAGGGAAGCAACCGGTCATTGAATCTAAGTCCCATCTGATGCAGGAATTCCCTCCTCCTACACACACACATATGCCTTCCTTAGAGCTGGCTGCCTGCTTCCCACCAAGGCTCCTGTAAGTGTGAGAAAGCTTTTCTTTGTGTTGAGCTGAGAGCTGTCCCCATGCCCTTCCCCCTTTAAGTTTTGGCTTTGCTTTGGGGGCCCACAGCAGCTTCTGCTCTGTGAAAGCCCTTCAGCCACTCTTGCAGGACACTTCCGAGGCCACCCATGCCTGACCCTGACTCCCTTTAGCCAGCCTCAGGCAGCCCACGGCTCAACCAAGCACAAGGCAGTGCCTCCCAGCCCTGAGGGGACTGAGGGCATCTGTGGAGCACCTACTCCCCCTGAGTGACCACCATCTCTTCCCTCTAGCTGTGAGGTGGATCAGTGGGATTCGGATGAGCCCATCCCTGACAAGGAGCTGGAGCAACGTGTGGTGGGGGCCCATGGCCTGCTCTGCCTGCTCTCTGATCATGTGGACAAGAGACTCCTGGATGCTGCAGGTGTGTGCCCTGGGCAGGCCTGGGGAGGGCTCCGAGGGTATCTCCACCTTGTGGGCACATTGCCCTGCTGCTGCTGGCCCTCTGGGCAGCTCTGCGGTGCTTCCTCTGGGTTCTGAGAGTGTCTCCTGCCATATCAGGACAGTGGGACAGTTGTTTGCAATTCCATCCACATGTTGCCCATCCCTCCTGCTGTGAATCCCTGGGGCAGTCCCTAGGAGGGCAAAGACCATGCTGTACAAGCAGCGGGGTGTTGGGGAGAGCACCCAAGGAAGGCCCTGGGTTCTCCTCCAGCCCTGCCACAGCCTTTCCATGCGACCTTAAAGACCCTATCCCTCCTGGGCCTGTGTGTAGCATGAGGGAGGACCTAGTTTGGTGCCAAGCATAGCAGGCACCCAGGATGTGGGTCTGAGCCCTGGGCTAGGGTAAGCATTGCCCTGTGAGGTTGTTGTCATGACAGTTTTGAGAAAAGGCTCAAACTCAGAGACTACTGGATGGGGAGGGACCTTGTGAATCAGTGCTGGGCCAACCCATACCCTGACCTTGTCCCAAATGCTTTCCGGTGCCCAACCTGGAGGAGAGGATGTGAGATATTCATGCCAAGCCACCTTCTCAGAGGTGTCCATGGGGAGGCCCAGGTGTGGCCAAAGGAGACCCAAGGCCTCCCTGGATGGACAGTCTAGTGGGTAAGAGCAGGGCCTTGATGGCAGAAACCCTGAGGTGAACCCCAGCTCTGCTCATGCCTGGACCAGGCCCCTTAACCTCCCTGAGCTGCAGTAGCTGTCAAAGAGGACTGTTTAGAGTGTTAACTGCAGAACAGAGATGTCAGCCTTTCCTCTTATTCTAAGAAAATGATAATAAGCTGGTATCCTCACCGTAGTCCCCAGTGTTGTGGCTTTGAGATCCATGAAGAAGGTTACTAACGTTGTGTTTTCTGCATAATAGGAGCCAATCTCAAAGTCATCAGCACCATGTCTGTAGGTGTTGACCACCTGGCTTTGGATGAAATCAAGAAGCGGTAACTGCAGCTTGACCTTGGGAAGGGGGCCTGAAGTGAGGGGTGCCTACCCGAAGGGGGGAAGAAGAGCTTTTTGTTTTCATTCCACATTCCTTGACCATGCGAAGAGAATGTGAAGTAGTTGATAAAATCCTTCCACATGTGCACAGGACAGTTCAGATAAGCCCGAGAGGTCAGAAACAGTGAGTTACCTCTAGGTATCACCTAGGTATCACCTAGGTCTAGGTATCACCCTTTCACATTCATTATCTTTCTTGATCCCCACAAGTCTTAAATTAGAAAAGGTAAGTATGACTATTTCCCTCTCAGGTGAGGACAAGGTTAAGTAGTTACTTGTCCCAGACCTTGAACCCTGATCCTCCATCTTCATTCCCTTCCCAGAGTGGGAGATAATCGAAATGGGAGTGAGGATTGCCCATTCCTGAGTGCTCATTTACAGTTCTGAGCTTCCTGGCAGGCAGAGCAAAGAGGGAGCAAAGTAACTTCATGGAAATACCCCAGCAGTAGACACTGGTGAAGGTGCCGATGTTACCACCAGATGTTTGATTCATAGTGGGATCCGAGTGGGCTACACCCCCGATGTCCTGACTGATGCCACTGCAGAACTCGCCGTCTCCCTGCTGCTCACGACCTGCCGCCGGTTGCCAGAGGCCATTGAGGAAGTGAAGAAGTGAGTGAACGCCTGGTGGGAAAGCCGGCTCTGCTCAAAAACTGGTCCCTGAGTGCCGGTGTCAGCCTGGTCCAGATGCTGTCCCTGTCCCTGAGTGAGCCCCATGTAGTGATTGGGGACAGACCTGGCTAAAATGATTAAGGTACAAGGCAGAGCTGCAGTAGACAGGGCACGAAGGGATATTATGAGAGAAGAGGTAGGGACAAGTTGATTCTGCTGCTGGTGAGGGAGTCGGGAGGAGTGGGGGCAGGGAGGCCTCCTGAAGAAGTGGTAGGTGGACATTCTCTTGAGTGTTCAGAGGTACAGGGCCGTTGTCCCTCGCCTACAGTACTTAGATCCAGAAAGTTCTGAGAGCTCAAATCTTTGGGGGGCAAAACTTGGCCTTACTAACAAGAGGCTGCCTATGGATTTTCTTTCTCCTACCCAGTGGGAATATTTCTAAATTTTGCTGCAGATTTGACACTGCTTTTGAAAAAGAATACTCCCAGACACTGGGTGATGCGTGGGATACACTTTTGTGCCATACTACCTTTCTTTTTTTTTTTTTTTTTTGAGTTGAAGCCTCACTCTGTCACCCAGGCTGGAGAGCAGTGGTATGCTCCCAGCTACCGCAGCCTCGACCTGCTGAGCTCAGGCGATCCTTCTGCCTCAGCCTTCCAAGTAGCTGGAACTACAGGCATGCGCCACCATGCCCAGCAAATTTTTTGATTTGTTGTAGAGATGAGATCTCAGCAAGTTGCCCAGGCTGGTCTCAGACCCACGGGCTCAGGCAGTCCTCTCACCGTGGCCTCCCAAAGTGCTGGGATTATAGGTGTGAGCCACCGCACCCGGCCAACCATGCTACCTTTCTAAAAACCAAACAAATTTATATTATTTTATTTATTTATTTTTTTGAGTTGGAGTCTCAATCTGTTGCCCAGACTGGAGTGCAGTGGCATACTCATGGCCACTGCAGCTCAACCTGTTGGGCTCAGGCGATCCTTCTGCCTCAGCCTTCCAAGCAGCTGGAACTACAGGCACGCGCCACCATGCCCGGCTAATTTTTTTATTTATTGTAGAGATGAGGTCTCGCCAAGTTGCTCGGGCTGGTCTTGAACCCGTGGGTTCTGTCAGTCCTCTCACCTTGGCCTCCCAAAGAGCTGGGATTATAGGCATGAGCCACCATACCCAGCCTGTATTCTTTTATTTTAGAGGCAGCATCTCCTTCTGTTGCCCAGGCTAGAGTACAGCGGCACAATCACGGTTTACCTCAGCCTTGAATTCCTGGGCTCAAGTGATCCTCATTTCAGCCTCCTGAGTAACTGGGATTACAGGCACTCACCATCATGGCTCATTTTTTTATTTTTTGTAGAGACATGATTTTGCTATGTTGTCCAGCTGGTATCAAACTCCTGGCTTCAAGTGATCCTATTGCCTCAGCCTCCCAGAGTGCTGGGATTGTAGGCATGAGCTACCATGCCTGACCCCACACAATTTTTAAATTTGGCTTGAGTGTTTCAGATCAGGGATTTCTGTCTGCGGATGAAGAGCTGAGGAAGGAATTCCAGGCACAGGGATGAGCATGAGCCAGGGTAGAAGGCGTGTAAATGTAGGTCCTCAGGATGTGGCTGGGAGCGTTGGCCCCACACACGGAGCACGGGGCTGAGCAGGCCAGTGCCTGACGTCCTGCTTGCCATCTGGGCAGTCGTCACCCTCCTTGGAGGTGACTCAAGGCAGGCTCTGTTCTCTTGTCTACCCATGGCAACAGGGCCTTGTGGCTGTATTTCTTGTTGCTAACCTCGAGAGCTGAGAGAACTTGTTTTGAGATTACAGATCCTGAGTTTGCAACTTGTTGCTCCCAACTCTCCCTGGCTATGTGGCCTCAGACAAGTCACTGTTTCTGGTTTATTTTCCCATCTGCAAAATGGGATTAGAGTCAGTGAGCCCTCTTTTAACCTTCAATTTCTTATTTATTTATCTATTTATCTGAGTCAGAGTCTCACTCTGATGCTCACGGGTACTGCAGCCTCGACTTGGGGGCTCAGGCAGTCCTTCCGCCTCAGCTTTCCAAGTGATTGGAACCACAGGCATGCACCACCACGCCTGGCTGATTTTTTTATTTATTGTAGAGAGCTCTTGCCAAGTTGCCCAGGCTGGTCTCTAACCCCTGGGCTCAGGCAGTCCTCTTGCTTGCACCTCCCAAAGTGCTGGGATTATAGGCAGGAGCCACTGCACCTGGCCTCTAGCTCTTGTTGTCTGTGTCCCTGCTGGCTTCTTTTTTGTGTTTTTGAGTTGGAGTCTCACTCTGACTCCCAGGTTGGGGTGCAGTAGCATGTTCACAGCCACTGCAGCCTCGACCTCCTGGGCTCAGGTGATCCTTCCGCTTCAGCCTTCCAAGTAACTGGAACTATAGGCATACACCACCATGCCTGGCTACCTGCTGGCTTTTAAAGGAGGAGTCATCCCCGCTGCGTATCTGCAGTGCTGAGTGGCTGAGGGTATATCTCAACCCACTCTGTCCTTTGACCTGGAGAGGGTGTCTATGCCTTGGATACAGCCAGGAGTGCTGGGTCTATGAGCTCGTAGCAGGCCTCATCTTTGCCCCAGACTGGGTCTCACCCGCCCCTCTCCATTCCCGCAGCGGTGGCTGGACGTCGTGGAAGCCTCTCTGGATGTGTGGCTACGGACTCACACAGAGCACTGTTGGCATCATTGGGCTCGGGCGCATAGGTGAGGCCCCCCACTACCCACCCTGGCTCTCAGACTGGGTCCCTGGCACTGCATGTCTGAATGCAGAGCATCCATCTTTGGAAAGGATTGCCTGACTCGCATGTTATCGGGGCACTTTGCATGCAGTAGAGGTCTCAAATGAGAGATGTGGCTTAGTAAGACATGGGCAAATGAATAAATACACAAAATCAAGAGTTCCTTGAGAACTCACTGGGTGACAGAAGCAAGTTGTTAAGGGGCAGGATGCTTCATGATGGCAGTTCCATAAAGGATAGATAAGGGCCATGCAAACTAGTTTCCTTTAGGAGAGCCCACACTCCCCCAGACCTGGGTTCTGAAAGACATTTGACTTGTGAAGCCTTAACTCTGGGCCCAGAGGGCTCCATGGGGCTGAATTGGCCTGCAGTTCTGTGGTTGAGGCAGAGCTGTATCTTCCAGTGACCTCTGGGTGGAGAAGTCTGGCAGAAAGGCTTAGGCTTGGCTAAGCAGCTGTCAGGGATCGTTCATCCTGCCTGGTGCAGGGGTGAGGGCGCGGGTGGAGAGTGTGGATCACCTGCCTGGCCAGCTAGCAGCCCTGCCTCTTGCTAGAGAGTTGCATGGAAGAACCAGCAGCTTTGGGGGCATGTCTGAAAATCCAACTACCCAAGTCTGTCTTAGCAGGAGCATATTTGAGAAGGTCTTGTAGGTTTAGGGCGAGTTGGCAGTTTGGCAGTGCCACCAGAAAGTCAAACGAGGCCTGAGACTGCATTTCACAGAAGCAGAAGGTCCATGAGGGAAGGGACGGCTTGACTATTTTCTGGAATGTCAGGCCCAGTTCTCAGAGAAAGTCAGCACATGGCCCTCAAGACGGCTGGGACCATGTGAGGACGGCATCAGCCAATCACAGTCACAGAGAGGCTGAGAGGCTGTCTCCAGATTCTGGGGGCAGTGTGGACCTGCTGGGGGCAGGATGCATGGGGGCAGCCCCCCCTCCAGATGAGACAGGACCTGTTAACATCGGGGTTGTGAGGATGAAAGGATCTGCCCCAAGGGTCCCTGTCCCTGGAGCTGCCCTCTGAGGGGTTGGAGCCAAGCCATGGACTCTGACTTGACTCCACACCTGTAGGCCAGGCCATTGCTCAGCGTCTGAAACCATTCGGCGTCCGGAGATTTCTATACACAGGGCGCCAGCCCAGGCCTAAGGAAGCAGCAGAATTCCAGGCAGAGTTTGGTGAGTGAAACCTTACTTTCCACAACTGTGCTCAGGTGGGGGGGACTCTGTTTTCTTTAATGGTGCCATTGTCAGGAAAAGTGCGGGAGCTGCAGGTATGTGTGAGTGTTATCTCAGGGAGGGCAGGGACTTATCCAGGCCATGCAATGAGTTTTCTGAGTGCCAGGAGAGCTCTCCAGGGCTCTGGTCTTTCAGAGCCTTTGTCCCCATTGCCTGTCATGGGCAGAGCCGTCAGGATGGTGACGGGTGTGAGGAAGAGCTGAGCACTTTCTCTCTCAGCTTCCTTAATAAACTGGTGACACCGCTTTAGCCCAGGTGCATCCAGCCCGCTGCTGGGTACACAGCTTGGTGAGCAGAAGGCAGGCTGGATCTCAGCCATTCCTCACCCCCTTGGGCACTTGAGGCCCTGAAGGTGGTGAAAGCCAGAGTGGACCAGGTCCTGCTGTGTGACCTTGAATAAGCTCCTGCCCTTCTTTGGCCTTGATTTCCCCATTTGTGAGACAAGGAGCTAGCTAGATGAATGATGTGATATCTACCAGGATTCCACAAATGGCTGTTAGCTTTGTAGCCATCAGAATTGTCCAGGTAGAGACTAGGCCTTCAAGAAGCATCTTAGTCGGGCTTGGTGGCTCAGCCTGTAATCCTGCGCCTTGGGAGGCCGAGGTGAGTGGATTGCCTGGGCCCGCGGGTTCAAGACCCGCCTGGGCAACTTGGCAAGACCTCATCTCTACAATAAATTTAAAAATTAGCCGGGCGTGGTAGCGTGCGCCTGTAGTTCCAGCTACTTGGAAGGCTGAGGTGGAAGGATCACTGGAGCCCAGCAGGTCGGGGTTGTGGTGGCCGGGAGTGGCCACTGCACTCTAGTCTGGGTGACAGAGTGAGACTCTAACTCCAAAAAAAAAAAAAGCATCTTGGGAGTTTCTTTATGGGAAGAGAGAGGAGGGGTCTGGTCTCCTGCCATCTTGCTCTGACCTGGAACTCGGCGTCTGATGGAACCCTGCTCCCCTTCTTTCCAGTGTCTGCCCCCCAGCTGGCTGCCCAGTCTGATTTCATTGTCGTGGCCTGCTCCTTGACGCCTGCAACCAAGGAGCTCTGCAACAAGGACTTCTTCCAGAATATGAAGAAAACAGCCGTGTTTGTCAACATCAGCAGGTATCCTAAGGCTGTCAGCATCCCTGGATCACCCAGCTGGCCTGGAGGGGAGCCATCCCGCCTGCTGAAGTCTGGGGAGTTCTTCCCGGTGGTTGTCGAGGAGACCCCAGGCCGAGCTTGCTGGTGTCCATACACCAGCCACCCAACCAAGCAGATATACATGGGAGAGCCTGAGTGGGAAAGGAGAGCAATTGGCCTGTCTGGCTCCCAGCAGTAGCCCCGGCCTGGCTCAGGGCCTGGCACACAGCATTGTTGGTTCAGAGAGCGAAGGCATCATGGGCAGCAAATCACCAGGGCATCTTGGGCAGGCCCGTTGTCCACCACAGACGGCTGGGCTTCATGGTCTGAATGGCCCTTTGGAGCTGACCTTCTGTGCCTCTGAGCCTGGATCTGCCTGACCGTGAGTTCAGTGATACCTCAAACCCTGTGCTCCGGGGAAGACAGACCCTAAAACTCAAGTTGTCTTGGTTCCTCAAAATGTGCCCGGGGTGCCTTCAGGCCACTGGGCTTATATGGGGGGCCGGCCACCCCCTTCCCACCTTCCCAGGTGTGACCTTCTGAACCTGTTTAAATCAGTTTGGAGGAAGGGACTGGATGAGGTCACCTTGAGGCCCATCTCCCAAAGCTTCCTGTAATGACCAGTGTTTTGCTACAGCAACAAAGGGGATCTGGGATTGGAGGAGTGAGGTGCAAGAATACAGGGCTCACGCCTCTGGCCAGCAGTAGTCAGAGCTGCCACTTGCCTAGTGCCTGCATGTACCTACAACTGTGCAGGGCCCTGCATGATTCATGATTGCACAAGTATTATTCAGTGCACAGCATGAAGTCTCTAGAAAGTCAGTTCTTCAGAGGTGGCTCACTCAGGGAGATGTAGTCAGGTGTATCCTCATTTCTCTGCCCTCATTTGGGCAGGTGCCTGATGGCGTGGCTGCGGTGGTTCTCGGCAGGGGATCTGGGGCCAACCAAATCAGAAACACCTAGATGGGGCCCAACACAGATGCAGACTTCCAGGCTCTGTTCATGCAATTGTGCGTGCAAGAAAGCTTTAATCCTCCTGTGACCCACTGCAGGTTGTTAGGCTCTCATGTGGGAGAAATGAACACGGGGCCAAACAGATTCCCAGCCAAGGCTTTACTGGGGGCTTATTTAGGAGCGAGCGTTCTCTGGCTGGCTTTCCAAAGAGGGCTGTCCCAGGCTTTTTATTAGATAAGGGAAGGGGTATAACATCAAAGGAAAGGTATGTTAGCATGATTAGGCAGGGGCCTAAACCCTCATGTACAGGCATGGTGTAGACACATACTTCCTCATACATTGCAGGTACAGAATATGACGGATAAGCCCTGCTGGTGGGGTTGGGGGTTTTGAATCGCAGTCTCACTGTCGCCTAGGCTGCAGTGAAGTAGGCACACGTTCATGGCCACTGCAGCCTCGACCTGCTGGGCTCAGGCGATCCTTCCCCTCAGCCTTCCCAGTAGCTGGAACTATAGGCGTGCACCATCACACCTGGCTAATTTTTCTTGATTTATTGTAGAGAGAAGGTCTGGCCAAGTTGCCCAGGCTGGTCTCAAACCTGTGGGCTCAGGCAGTCCTCTCACCTCAGCCTCCCCAAGTGCTGGGATTACAGGCATGAGCCACTGTGCCCGGCCAAGGGATTTTAGTATTATAATGAAGCAAGGGTTCCAGTGGGACACTCTCTGGTCCTTGTATGCATGGGGAGCAGGGTGGGCAGGGACTGTTGTCCAGGCAAGATTTATAGTGAAACGTTGTTTATCATCAGGGGTTTTCCAAGGTTGTGGTCTTTAGGATGGTTCCAACTGGAGCATCGTTGCGCAGTCTGGTGGTTAAAGTACGTGAGGGAGGCCGAATCCTATTCCCGCTGTGTCTCACTTCCAGCATTCCTGGGAGTTAAGCGGTATTCTCCTTATCTTACAGAGGAGGATCCTGAGACACAGAGAATCTGGGATACTTGCCCAAGGTCACACAGCTAGAAAGTGGCAGGGCTAGGGCTCTCGGAGATTAAGACCTGTATTCCTATACAGACTTACTGTAAGCAAGTGTACTGTAAGACTTACTGCTTTAAAAGTCAGTACCAAGGGCCGGGTGAGTGGAAAAGTTCATTCTGTGGGCTGTTGGGCTCTAAAGGCAGCCTGGGTGGCAGGAGTTTTGGGGTAGCCATACCACCAATGTCGTTCCCAGAGGTGACGTCGTAAACCAGGACGACCTGTACCAGGCCTTGGCCAGTGGTCAGATTGCAGCTGCTGGACTGGATGTGACAACCCCAGAACCACTGCCTACAAACCACCCTCTCCTGACCCTGAAGAACTGTGGTAAGAACTGCACATTGCCAGTACAGACACCCCGTTGCCCTGTAAGACCCGTGTTTATGGGGGTTCCTGAGGTAGGCGTGTGTGAAGCCAGCATGAGCAGAGGGACACACCCAGGGATCGTGAATGTTTACGCTACTAGTGACACTGGGACCTAAGAGGAGAGGACCTCCTGAGCATGCTAAACTGGCCTCTGTCCCTAATGGGCAAAATGTAGGGATGAATGGATCTGTTTTTAAAAATAGGGTCGGCCAGGCTACATCTTACACCCTTAGCTACTCATGGGTAAAACCCATCACTATAAATCTCCATCAGCAGTTTAAGTGTGAGGAATTAAAGGTGTAATTACAATACCAATATCTCCAGCTTTTAGGCCAGTTCTTTTTTTTTTTTTTGAGTTGGAGTCTCAGTCTCACTCTGTTGCCCAGGCTGGAGGGCAGTGGCATGCTCACGACCACCGCAGCCTCAACCCACTGGGCTCAGGTGATCCTTCCACCTCAGTCTTCCAAGAAGCTGGAATTACAGGCACATGCCACCACGCCTGGCTAGTTTTTGATTTATTGTAGAGGTGAGGTCTCACCAAGTTGCCCAGGTTGGTCTCTAACCTATGGGCTCAGACAGTCCTCTCACATTGGTCTCCCAAACTGCTGGGATTAGAGGCATGGGCCACCATGCCCGGCCTTGTGCCAGTTTTTTTTTTTTAATTATTATTTTTATTTTAAAGATGTGGGGTACAATTCAGGGTTAGGTATACAAATGTTCATTATGCAGGTTCTCTTGTTGATGAGGTGTGCCCCCCTCGCCTGGCAGATTCCCCCTACTGCCAGTCCCGCCCATTTCTTAAGCTGTCTTCTCTCAACAACGGAGCCCAGTTCTCTGTTCGGTTTTGGAGGCAGAGCCTCTGTGCACCCCATTTCTGCTGTGTTGGCGTGGATGCTGGAGGACTCACTCCCTCCTGTCCTCCTGCCCTTTGGGGAGTGGCTGCGGCAGCACTTTTCACCTGCAGCAGTGCCTTCCTGTAGCGGCTGGAGAAGGTTTTCCAAAACTTGGTTAACCAGCCCCACTGGCACCCTCAGAGACACAAGCAACAGCCAGTCAGTGCCCTGACATAGAGGTCCGACTTTCACCTTCAGGGTCCTCTGCCTTTCATCTTGCACATCCTAACAATCTCACCCTTTTCCTTTGTTCCCCAGCCCGAAGGGTGGAGGTACTTCCCGCAGTTGCTACCTCGGTGATCCCTCAGTGCAGTGGTTTTCATAGGTTCACGTTTGGCAGTCATCTGAAGGGATGGCATATCAATTCCAGGCTGCTGGGCCCCACCCCAGGGGTTTTAGCTTCAGTAGGTCTGGAGTGGGGCCCGAGACTATGCTTCTAATAAGCTTCCCAAGGACCCTGATGCTGCTGGTCCTGGACCACACTTTCGGTACTGCTTTAGTGTTTGCTTTTGCCTCCTCAGTTACCTTTTTTAAATGTGTTTTATTTATTTATTTATTTTTAATTAATTTATTTTTTGAGTTGGAGTCTCACTCTGTCACCCAGACTGGAGTGCAGTGGCTGCTCCCGGGCACCGCAACCTCGACCTGCTGGGCTCCGGCGATCCTTCTGCCTCAACCTTCCAAGTAGCTAGAACTACAGGTGCGCGCTACAC